GGATTTGGAGGTCCATCTTGATCTTGTAGTGAATTGGGAACGGAAGAATGTACTGGCTAACACGTATGTCCATCGCTTGTTGCAAGAACACCGGCCTAAAAGCAGTCATTTAATAAAGGGCGAGGTTTTAACAGTTTCTTGGAAATGATTTTTCTTTTGCATCTCTTCCACCTTGCCACTTTGTTCTTACCTCAATATTGCCCAACCGTATCGAGCTGGGTTCTAACCAGTCGGAAGAGAGGTGGAGGTCTCACGTATTCACCTCACTGACCACTCCATGCAGGTAGAGTAGACTGTTAAGTAGCAAGCTTTCAAGATTATTCACGGACACTACTAGTGTAGCTTCAGCTGTTAATAGCGATGCTGCAGAACAGAACACTGGAGCAGTTGCCGAAGGTCGACGTCATACTCAACCCTTCTGTTGGGGATCGACACAAGTTCTCCCACTCACAGCAAATGCCCTTCTTCCGTCAGTTAATGCTTAGCATTTTACGATTGGAAATCAGAATAGTTGTCTCATAGGGCAGGAAATGCTTCCCAATACCATTATTTTAGTATCCTGAGTCTTGTCTGAAGGAAAAAGTTGACATAACACTTGAGCAGAATAAGTATGATCAAAGTACAGAAGAGCTTGATGGCCACTGGCATCCCTGGAGGCCACGCCGCCCGGTAATGGTACAATCGTGGAGCCCTAAACGGCTCGTTATTAAAATCGAGAATAAACAATCCGCAAAATTATTGTACCAAAAGACTGTAATTTATTGAAAGCAATGGCTCTACCCCTTGCAGTGCAACCAACTTTCCAAATATCATAAGAAGTCACGAGAATCTCTTGTTTGCAGCAGAAGGTGGTTAATTGATTAGTAATACCCATAGCCAAAGAGAAATGATAAGAGTTTTCTTAGGGCCATCTGATTGCTCAGGATACCTCACGTTTTGTTGAAGTTCAATTGAAGAAGCTCTAGAATAGAGTGAAGGATTAGGAAGATGAGTGGAGAAACTTTCATACAATCAGACTCCTCAGCATATTCACTACGTCTGTAGCTTGTTTTTATCATGCAATCTTTATCTGTTCATCACCGATAAACAATAACACTTAATCGAGTTGCAGTTCTTTGTGTTTTTGAGAACAATTTAACAAGTGACTTGTAGTGGTTGATATTCCACTTCAGCCTATACATCTTACATCATACTTAATATTTTCCCACTGAAAGCTGCCAGATAAATGTTAATATTTGGCTATTTTTACCTCAACCAACCTAGTAGTGACAGAATTTAGGAAATACATTTATTTATTACCAATTTCTGAGGAGCATATACCATGCACCCACAAGGCCGGCAGTAAACGTGCTAAGCTATACAGCTACAAAATATCATGAAATTAGCTTACCAAATCTTTTCGTGAATTATTTGGACTGTAATAAGTTGATTATTTGCTTAAAATTTCGTTTTTATTTAAAGAGCATTTAAGGATCTACCTTGTATTTTCTCGAAACGGTGTGGAATTCGGACCATACAAGTAGCCCACAACCCTTACATATTCTGCTCCAGCATTATGTCTACTTGAAAATGACGTCTACCTCCGGAAAATACCAAGAGTCTGTGATTTACAGGAGTGCTACTGACACCTAAAGTGACACTAGCAGTGAATCATTTCAAAAAGTCCGTTATAGATGTGTCCACGGTACCTGTATGGAGATGTTAATGAAATGAACACGCGATACCTCCTCTACCACTCTACTACCTGACTAGAATCCAGATAGATGGAAAAATGGATATAACTGGGCAGCAATGAAGTGGAAACGAAGGGGCAAGGCGGAAAATAAACTTAAAACCTAATCTTCACTAAATTAAAATCCTGTCCTTCGTTAAATTACTACCCGTGGGCCCGTCTTCCTATGACTAGCGGTGGACATACGCAATGGTCAGCCCATTCCCCCTTTCCGAAATACAGTTTCCAAACAAGACGAATCACTAGATTCAATAAAATTGTCAAGATGGATTAGTGACATTGCAATCGAATACCCTTTCAGTCACAAGGAAAATCGATGACTGGCACGGTTGATTCGTGTGTACTTTTGCGTACAGCACCGACTACTTCGTGATGGTCGACTTGGGAGGATTACTAAGGTTAGAGCCTAAGACGACTCTTAGAATGGGAGAGGGTCTGTAATACTACGGCTATTTGCGTAACTTTTTGATTTGAAACCGGTATCATTTAAGATTCCACTTTTGCAGTCCCTCTAAATGGCATGGACTCCGAACTATGTCAGTAACCCCAGCCCTTCCTTACGTCGGCAGTACATATTCTGCACGAGTATTATGCCTCCTTTATCTACAGAAAAGTTGAGTGGGGCTACAATACTTCCTGGATCAAACCTCTCTGCCACCAGTGGGGAAAGATACTTTACAAATCGTCTTTGTGCCTCATAATTGAATGTATTCATGGATGGAACACATTTAAGTCCTCCCTCCGAATAGGCATGAGATAGTAATAAATGTTTGTTTTTTTATAACATAAGTATAAATTGCATTTAGAATTGCAATAGTTCTCTTAAAAATCAGATAAAAATGGTGTTCTCGAGAGGTAGTAATGTGAAAAAGTTGCAGACTTAAACTAGTTATCTCACCACTTGAGTCGGTGAACAAAGAACGAAACGTACAATGTTTGTGCCACTCACCTCACGAGGCGGCATACAAAAATATTTAATTAAAGTTTACGTAAGAAATAGCTATGCTACAAATTTCTGGAGTTTTTACTAATCAGTATCTGTGAAAGTGATTTAAATTTTAATACCTCCTATTGTCGGGAAAGAGGAGAAACTCTAACTGACTTTATTAGAAGAAGTAAGATTTCGCAGATTTCGACAGAAAAATCGTCTTGGCGAAAAAAAGGAAGATTAATCTGCTTCAGGCTGATGAAGAACTCTTGGGGTTTCAGAGCACTTCTTACGGTACAAACCAAAAGGAGCAGAAAAAAGGATTAAAACACGCCGTTCTTTGTGGGTTCTTGTACGACTAGCCTACGGGAAACAAATCAAGGTTGCTTTCCCTTTTTTCCATATGAATGAGTAATTCTCCTTTCATCCAGGTCCATCAGTTGTTAGTGGGGCGATGCCCACCAACAGAGTTCCCAGAATTCACAAGTTTTCTCCTCACTTCTTCACCCATCCTACGAGTGTGCCCCGTTAAGGAATTACTGGAAGGCCTTTTCCAGGACCCATTTATGCTATGGGAAATCATTTCGCGTCAGTTTCAAGTAATGAATGACCATCAGTTTCGCCAGAGTACCACAATTGCGTAGTTTCTGGTAATTCATAGTTAAAAAGCTAAGGCGAATCTTAAAACGAGTGGCCTTGAGTAGTTCTGATTGTCATTAGAGAACCATAAAATGGGTCCCTAGTATCTTCTGGACCCCACAAATTCTTAACTCTAATATTTATTCATATATCAGAATTCGTGACCCATACCACTTCTATTCAATCAGTAATACCATAATTACGTACTGGTATTGTGAAAGGAGTAAAGTCGGGTTGGTTAAACCATTCAAAGGACGTTAAGCGTGTGACTGTAATACCCTGATTGTTTATCCAACTCTTCGTTTCCGTTACTTGAGCATTTGAGGCATCGCCATTGTACTCCCGCCCAGTGCCATGGCCTTTGGATCATGCCTGTAGCACCCACCCCTTCTCTAAGTTAAAAAAACGTTTTTTGTCTTAGTAGTATGATTTCTTTCGTTTTCAGGGAAGTCTAAGAGCGCTACATCGGTGGCAATGGAAAGTAGACACGATCCCAAAGGATAGCCACTTTAATTGCTATTGCCAGGCGCTAAATTTTAATGTGACGGAAGAGGATCGCATGCTGGTGATGGAAGTATCTGTGACGGCCCCTAATGGAAGGTCAAAAAATGACGTCTACCTTCAGCAAATACACCAGTGCCACATTCGACGGGAATGCTACCAACAACTGAAGAGACATAAGCCGTGGCTGTGAACCATCTGGATAAATGCGTTAGGCAGCACCCACGATACCTGCATGAAGATGCCAATGAATTGGAAAAGTGAGACCTCCTCCACCCTTCTACTAGTTGGATAGAACCCAACTAGTAGATATGGCTGGGCAGCACTGAAGTGAGAATAAAGTGGCAAGGCGAAATAGAGGCGGTAGCTTATCTCCTTGGTTCTGCTTTAAACCCCGCCCCTTATTAAACGACTCTGCTTTTAGGCCTCTATTCCTTCGAGTAGCGGTAAACATTCTTGATGGTCAGCACATCCCCCCTTCCCCCAATACAGTTTCTAAACAGAGCGAAACGAACAAAACGTAAATAACTTTATACCTTGCTTTTGAATTTAATTAATTTTTTCAAATTAGGTTCAAATTTTGCGTTTTAGTTTGGTAACCTTGGCTTAATGATACATTTGCAGCAGCTCTAGTCATTCCTGAAGACATAAGAAGTCATAGCATTAAACCGGAATATGCACTGCCGACGTAACGAAGGATTGTGGGGTAGCTACTGGCATGACCCGGGGGCCATTCGGCTCAGTGGAAGTGCAATCGCGGAGCATTAAATGCCGGCAAAGACTGAAAAGGAAGAGTTAAAAAGAAATCACTGTATTACGTAAGTATTTGCATGTTTGTTTAAAATTATTCCCTTAACTTGAGGCCTTGGTAAATACCCTTTCTGAAAGCGTGTTCCTCTTAGTTAAATGGCAGGAAAAGTACATGTAATCTTTAAGGTGGAATAGCCTGTGATTTAAAGTTAATTCAAGTGAACAAATTTACTGCAACTCGTAATTTCGAAATTTAAATGTGATTCTTTAAGGGGTCTGCTGTGCTTAGATCTTTTATTTTATTTTGTTCCATTGCCATTATTTAAGGTGTGGTAGAGGGGGCTTATTCTCATTCGGCTCGACACACTTTGAAACATATTTTCTCGACTGAATTAATTTCAATCTGTCTTGATTTATTTACCAAATTGGACTGATTTTCTGCTCCTTATTTTAGTTTTTCAGCCTTTCAAATGGATTTTTGTGTACTTTTAATGGCTCTGGAAGTTGTTGAGTAAATGAAGGTTCTCGAAATTCTAAATGAATTATTACGTCATGACTAAATTTATCTATTTCCTTGTTCTTTCACAAAACATAGAATTCTATTTGCGCTTTTGAGAGATTAAAGCGGCGTTTTTTTGACAATAAAAACCTTAAATCCTAGTCACCAACATGGTATTTATAACACAAAGTTTAAAAAGCCCATTTTATCAGATTTTGGGCTCATCGTTCCCTTTTGCTTAAAATAACAACTCCCTCATCGCCTTCTCAGCTCTCATGCGATTAGTTGCCTTAGCAACCTCTGCAAACAGCCCTGAATTATTCAAACGAGGTACATCATGCTTATCTACTGAGTTTTTCGAACCTACAACTGACAGTCAAAACATCTTTTTCACATAAAATTTGCCTCCGACTATAGCCTTACAAGTACAGTTTACTGTGGAAGTTTGGTGATGTAGGGTACGTATTAGTTAACTTAAGTCGCACCTTTTATGTCTCTTACTAATGTTCGTAAGGGGAACTAATTTACAGTTGGCAAATTTTTGAAGCCAACTTCCTCGCCTTCAAAATGTCTGAAATTGCTATTTTAGAATCAAAATTAATAAAAAATAACTTTAAATCCTCCAGTAGTTCAGCAAAGTACTTCGGTGATTGGTTCCGCGATTCTGGCAATTTGTAGGTTAAACCAAAAATATCACATCTTAGTAGGGATGAGAAATCATTTTTAGGGTAAGACAGTCTTTAGACCCCTAACAGCAGTATGTCGACCAACGAAGTAGATTAAGTTTAGGGACGATGAAGCAAATAACTTTAATTAACTTACATCCATACATTAGAAAAATTGCACTAATTTATCCCTTATCGTAACTAAACCAATTGAAATAACCTTTTAACAAGTGTATGCCAACAAAGTATGTGGCAAGGCAACTACTGATGGCGCCATGGTTTCCAATATGTTATTAGTACAATTGGTGCTGAAGCCACTGAAATACGAGATGATTCAATCCGCCCATTTACGACTTCACGGGATTGTTGTTTTTTTTTTCACAGCACCACTTGCGATTCTCAGGCAGGTTAGTGTTGGCACAGTTGGCTGCATAAACACATTCACACACGCACAAAAAACAAATTGGGGGGTGTTCACAGCGCACTCAACCTGTTGGCATGGACGCCAATTTTAATTCCTTCATTTTTACTGTGATTTTCATCTACCACCAATTTTGCACATTCCCTGCACATTCTACTTCATCTAACCCTCGATGCACTGATTGTATCGCGACGTTTTAAATATGCATTAGAATAGAGTAATATGCGCAGATTTGGAACGGAAAAAAATTTAATTAATGTATTAGCACTACCTTTGGTATTACTAATTGCAGTCTTAATTTTAAGCTGTTATACTGATTTAAAATATGATTGGGTAATTCTTTTTGGCCTGAAAATCGTTTTGGGAAATTCTTGACTTTGGAAACTTGCAGTGGTGAATAGGTTCTTGCAAAGCATATATTTTGCAAATTCTCGGCATTTATTTACTTGTAGGAGTACCGATGAGACCGTTGAAAACTTATTCCATTTCACACCTTGTGTAAACGCTCTGAGATCTTCATGTGATTCCAAATGAAGCATTCCCAGGGTGAATATTCTTCCCACCAAGTCGTGCGTCTATCCTCTCTTAGTATATCTATTAAATACGGCCTCAGAGATTTGCAAATAGCGGGTCACACAGGTAATACAGGGCTACTGAAAGGTGACGTGAGGTTCTAAATAACTATAACGTAACGCTCTGGTAGTTAGTTTAACTCTACTTTTAATTATGGGGCGGCTTAAGTCAGCGCCAGCTGAACTTCCGCATGAAAGCATAATCTCTGGTCAATCCCAGCAGCCTCTTAGCCCCCCTGTGCGTCAGTGATATATTTTCTGCTATACTGCTATTACTTCTTACGATTTCAGGCAAGACTCAAGACCCTACAATGACATCGCAACCCTTCTTGTGGACAGATATCGAGAGTAAAATCAAAACTCTCATTGAAATTCAAATCAGTTAAGCATAAATTAGCTCAAATAAGGCGTTTCCATTTCTGGGCTGCAAAATAACAGTTTATTCTAATGTAGGAAACCAAAATTATGGAAGAAATAATCCACTTCTTTTCTCAACACGTCAGTTGGAAGAATAAACAAAACCGTTTGCTTCTCCTTTTTACTAGCTTAGTTAATTCAAGTTTGAAAGGGCCTATTGAGAGTCAAAGCTGCTAAAACCTATTTACATGGTAAAAAGGTAACGCTCGCTAAGTTCAGGCCAAAGTCTGATTGGAAAAATACTTGGTTTATAATTGCGACTCTGAAAAAACCACCTGCGGAGATTTATAGCTTGTTGATAGCACTGCGTTTATCTGTCATGATACACTTCCGTCCAAAATTATAAACAAACATTACTCGAGTTCATCGCGGCATTATGAAGCATGGTTTGCAGCATCGCTGAGTAAGCAAAGGCTAGCAGGTAGCTATGCACTTCATCTGCGCTGATTTTGAATTCGGAATTTCAAAAGTAAGAGGTAAAAAAATAAGCAAACTGCCTAATCGACTGTTGTATAAGAATCTTGTAACCCCCCAGCGCTCTTAACTCTCATACTACTATAATGACATTAAATCCACTTCGAGAGAGGGACTTTGTTCCACCCATTAAATGGGTTTGTCTTAAAATAAGCTCAATTTTCTGGCCAGTGTACTTTAAGTTTGCGTCCTCACTCTTTCTTCCAGAGGTTGTTTTTTGGCCTAATCAATGTCAAACAATCCTAAAAATAAAGGACTTAAAGCAATCACATTTCTTATTTACCTTAGTACTTATAGTGTTATTTCTTAGCTGTAAAAAATTACACCTAATTTAATTTTCAGAACTACCTCCCTTACTTGAGCGTAGATTACAAAGCTACAAGTTAATGGTAGAAAAAAAACAATCATAACATATCACTTGCCATGGCATCATCTATTAATTACCAGAGCTAAAGGCTTTTTGTTGACATTTAAATTTAAATTTATTGCAAATGGTACTTATTTAACAATAAGACATTTGATGAGGGCAGTCTGCTTCAGAGCTTGCAGACCTTCGGTTGGGTAAGCCCTGGGCTACAGTTTGCATTAGCTCCATCATAATTATGCTAGATTCCGTGTCTCACTGCCTTCAAGTCTACGCATTGACAATGAAAAGTTTTTTGGCAAGATCTCACCAACATGCCACACATTTGGATCATAATTAATGGGGTGAATCGTAAACCAGTTATTAAAGTCAGATTTTACGAAAAAAAGTGGAAGCATCACCCCAATATGACGCGATTGGTTATTTCGGAATTTGATGGGTTTAAACATAGGTGATATACATTGTAATCGTTCAATTGTTAACTCTTCTTGACCCATTTAGACGAGGCCAACAGAATGGTAGGGTCACAAGTCCATTACAACCCCCGGAAATGAGATCAAGACTAGGGATTTATGTACAGATTAGAGGAATAAGCATACGAAGGCTTCTGAACTAATGGTGGAAGCGGTCATCAACAAACGACAAAACTGTCATGAGCTAATTTGGGCTACGATCGTATGTTTTCGCATGCGATCAATCTGTTGACTTTTCAAATCTATGAAGATGATCGGTTAGTTATTTTTTCTTAGAGTTAATTATTGATGAAAGAGAGAAGTCAAGTACAGAGCAGGGTACAGTTCGATAAAATAAGAATTTGGACGTATGGTACCTTCACTACTTCAGCTCCATCATTGCATGCGATAAGTACTCTACTTCATTGGCTATTCGTGGAAGGATCAGAAAGTGGTTCGTCTTTACGCAAAAAGCCGATTTATATCTACCTGTGTACCCATAACTTCGCCATTATCCTGATTAATTCAGTTTTTCCAAGGGCAGAGGTTGAAATTGCTGTAAAAAAGTAGAGCACCCTAATTCTGTTCATGTGACACGATGATGCAGTTAATCCACGGGAGTTTCAACCCAGCGAGCTATTGTTCACGCCATTTGAGTGACACGCGTGATTCATTAGAATGCTCCCAGCTGCGTTAACGAGTTCGATTGCTAGGTTGTTCATTTGGAAAAAGGATACATTTTAATGAATTGATAAGAAATTGCTATCACTAGTGTGGAATTTACTTGGCGTATAAGAAAGGTGCTTACACCATCTATGCTAAGCGTCTCTCTTTTTCAGAATTTTTAAGTCTATTTTTTCTTATAAAAGGCATTAGATGTGTAGTAGGCTTGGTGTTCCTGTCTTCCAGCACAGCCTTCATATCCTTGGAATGCAGGGACGAGTTGGACGCTGATAAGTTTTATCGGGTAGTGATAAATAAAGAGGCATAGGTACCAGGGTTAAGCGTGTTCATGGTACATTTTCTCCTCCTTGGAGGCCGAGGGCGTCCAATCCGTAGGGAGGTTCGGGTTTTCTGACTGCCTCTAAAGACTGAAGAACAGACTTGATAAATGTTTGCATTTTTATCTACGCACTTAAGAGACTTAAGAAAGGAAATGTGTGACATGACCAATCTTTTTTCTCCTTTTTCTCTTGCAAATCGAAGATATATTTGTCAAGCATTTGACACTTCAAAAGAAGTATGTTTTGCAAAATTCCAAAGAATAAATCAAAAGCCTACTCCTGCTTTAAAAGTTACAGATGCTCAGAAACCTGTGTCCCAAGACTCATCTTTTATGAGCTTTATCAATGGATTGAAGGTTGAAGATCCTTAAGGCTTGCTGATACAAGTATTTCATGTTTGCTGTTAGATCAAAGTGTAATGTTCAAGTCCTTTCAAAATGCCGCTGTTGTGGTGACTGTCTTTTGTTCGGTCTTTTGTGCGCCTTTTTGGATCTTGTAAAAATCAAAAAGACTGACGGGTGAATGCTAAGGAAAATACAACCAAGGATATCACTTGGTTACCATTAAAATTTTGCCTTCATGTGGTTCAAAATAATCATTTTTTGCTTGGATTGTTAAATTCCAAGTCGATTACTTAGAAGTACAAATTTCTGGAAGGTTGAAAGATAGTTTTAATAGGTACCGCATTCATCTCCTCAACCTGGACTTTTATTCTCTCGGATCGAGTACCGATTTATAGCACCCTGGAACTTCCCTGAAGAAGAATGGAGACATAACACTAGGGCAGGATATGTACTGCCGAAGTACAGAAGAGATGGGAGAAAGGATAGTGGCATGGCCCTCCATTCCTTCTGTACGTCGGTAATATATATCCAGTCCTAGTGTTACGTCTTCCTTCACCTTCGGAAAGGGCTTGGGACGCTATGATGTCTCCTGATTTATGAACAAACTTTTCTTGAAAGCCGTAAAATCTAATTTCTTCCGGAGTTTTGCCAATAAATTATACAATATTTTAATGAATGGCACCTAATACCAAAACAGAGCAGAAAAATTATGCCGATAAGTTCAAAGATGTGGTTGATTGGCTGATAGATTTTCTTCTTAATGTTCAGCAACTTTTGCTTCTTATACCTTTAGCATCATCCAAAAGCCGAGTTATTTTTTAAATAGGGGTTGGATTATGGTGGAATAAGTTAAAATGATTTATTTACAATATTTCGTGGTCGCTATTGCATCAATCTAGAGTACAAGAAATTTATTGGCGCATGAAGTCATTAGCTTTAAAAACTTGCCAGTTTTAGCTTTTGAACCAAATGATCTTTACAAGGACTATTATGGGCAGTGTAAACAGATTAGTACAGCACTTTAGCTAAAGGTGAAAGCTTTTAAATATTGCATCCAACTCATATTAAGGACCGTCAACATGAAGTTGTAATATTGTTCAATGCTTTGGTTGTTTGTTTAACTCTTCGTCAAGGCTTCGAGGATACTGAAAGGCAGGGCCATTATACTTCTGCTGGGGGGCTTGGCTTCTGAGACGTGCCAGTAGCCCCTCCAGTCCTTCTTTGTTGGCAATACATTATCTTTCGTCTTCAGAAAAGACTCGGGTCATTAGTAACTTCGTGAATGAAGAAGGAGATATGCACTTCGTTTAAATTCAGGTATTTAAAATGAGGTGTGCTGCAATAAGTGACAAGTTAAGTCGAACCGAAGTTGACTGGTTAGATATTGTGTGCTCACCAAATATGGGCACTTGAGTTTGACAACGAGAACCGTCTTGAACTTTGACCATATGTAGTGGCATCAAGCTCTCGAATGTTTTTTCCCCAATTTTTTGTAAGCTGTTCAGGATGCAAGAATTTGCACTCATCCAAATGACTTAGCCTTTTGGATGCTTGCTGTAATACGCTGAAGGTAAAAGATAACTTTATGGTAATAAATAGAAAAATGTCAGAATTTAAATCTAAAAGGCTTCAGTATTTGTTTCTTTACTTCATCAGGTAATTTTCCACATTACTGCCCATAAGTCATTGGGCCCTTGCAAAAATTGCCATTTACGATTGAATTCCTACATATGACTGGGTGTGCTAGGAGGTAAGCAAGTAATAAATTAAAGCCTTGGAACACCGTGCTCTTTTAATCGGATAAACACTTGCATCACATGGTTCTAGTCGGTATTTACACTGCGCAAGATCTTACAGCCATGTGTCATATTAAAACTGGTGGTCATAAAAATACTGCACAATGCTTTTATTTTGCTTATGACGTAGTCGTTTTTTAATTAATGGTACTTGTAAATACAATTTTGACAATGGCGCGAGAGTGTAGCATTGAATAATCAGGTAGTAGATTCTTAGAGCCTCCCTAAGTGTGCAAGAATTGGTTGATTTAAGGGAGGTCGCCCTGCCAAATTCCCAAATCTCATCCATGCAATGATGTTGATATAAGCCTATGCTCTCCTTATTTTGGAAAAGAGAATGCATAAACCTCAAAGAAAGCGGTCCTTTTCTTCGATCAAGCATTGAACAGTTGTCCATTAGTTGGTCTCAGTAATGGACTGAAGACGTTGACAACACAGTCGGGAGCTGTGATGGGAAATCTTTGTGTTTTTCCTCCTTGGAATGCGTCCACGACCATGCCAACTGTTAGCTAATCAGTTTTACTGGACGAGAGCCCGGAAGTAGGTACAGGAAGTAAACAGGATGACTATTCAATCTTACGTTAGATGGATGAAAAATTTTCAGAAAGATAATGAAATAATCTTCAACACAAACATTCCGGTTTTGACGCGCCTTTTGCTGAGGCCAGAGGGATGCATATATTTATCACGCTTGTCATTATATCAGAATAATAGAAAAGTTTGAACGCGGTCATCGACTTCTCCTGAGACTGCAGCATTGTCAGCTTAAAACACCGACATGCATTTGGCTTGGCACGATGTGATTTTGTCTAAAATGATTAGAGTAATTTTTCAATAAATAAGAGTCTTTCCGACAATTCAAATAACGGGACAAGTTTTGTTTCCTTAAGATCAACAGGTCATTATTGGACACGAGCTGTAATATCACTGCTAATGCTGGGTTTTAATTGTGGAGCATTCGTGAGGATCTGCAAGCTTTGAAATTTATTTATTGGGAATGATTTTGTATAAATTAATTTACCAAACTGTAAAGCCTCAACTCCCTTATGGACTCGTGAATATGCATGCTACTACTGAAGAGGAGTTTATTAGTAGCATGCATGGGAACTGGAGGCTGTAAATATGGGCTAGTGCTCATGCCATCAGGATGCTGTAACAACCCACAGAGAGTGAAGAGTTCACTTTCTCAAATGCGCAATTTAGCAAATATCAGTTCCTTACAACTTCTTTGAAGGAAACAAAAAGTATACTGGAAAGGATAAGTTAATCCGAAACTTTGAAACTGCCTTATCTTCAATTTCTCTTTTTCCATCACATATCAGGGGACCAGACGTATAGACAAAAGACCTGATGCAAATGCTTTCTTGTAAAAATGAGATTACTTAATACAAATTGTCGTATCAGAAGCGACTAGGCCCATCGATACGATCTTTGGCTTTTTGATGTAAAATTACTGATTTTTCCCAATTTTTTTCATATTCTCATTAATATCTTGGGTAAATATATGCAGCGTCCCGAGACAGAAGATCACATAACACCAGAGTGGAAATCGCATTGCCGAAGTGGGGAGGGGCTGGGATCTACTGGCATGATCTGGAGGTCGTGCCACCCGGTAAAATACAAAAGCTGAGCCTTGGGTGCCTACGAAACCAAAGCGAAGTTTTAAACACTTAATCACACATATAACGATCTGCCAGCTATGTCATGAAATATACACATTAAATTCGCTTTTGACGTAGCCTCTATCAATTATTGGTCTCTAAAGACAATTGGACTATTTTTTACATCTGTAAATGAATTATTGGAAGCCAATGTTCCAACGTTTGGAAGAAAAAATCCTACATTCATGTCATAACACGAAGATGCATTTTATTGATTAAATCTCATTTAAAGAAGCAAAA